CGTCGACGAAAACGTGAAGTCGCGGACAGACAGACAGACGGACAGACGGACGGACATGACGAGAAAATAACGCATTTTTTTCGTGAATGAGAAAATGCGCTAAAAATGTCTTCGTTTTAATATAAGCTTCCGAAATAAAAATGTTCAATAAGTATATTTTGAAAGGCAATGTAACGCTGTGTATTTGTTTTAGGGATCATAGAAAGATAGGGAAAAGATATTCCCGATATTGGGAATTAAAAATCAACAGGTTTTGAAACCTTTAACGCTGAATTCGCGATTCCTTTCAAACTTGTTGTATAAATAAATCCCTTAAATATGAGCAAAATGTGAGCAATCCATATGATTACATATAAAATATAAAGTATTAGGATTATTAAAATTATCAATGCAAAATTTTACAGTGACGATTTTTAACTGAGGGTGAATTCGAGATAGCACTGTACACGGAGTACAGTGTACACGGAGTACAGTGTACACGGAGTACAGTGTACACGGAGTACAGTGTACAGGGAGTACAGTGTACACGGAGTACAGTGTACAGGGAGTACAGTGTACACGGAGTGCAGTGTACACGGAGTGCAGTGTACACGGAGTACAGTGTACACGGAGTACAGTGTACACGGAGTGCAGTGTACACGGAGTGCAGTGTACACGGAGTACAGTGTACACGGAATACGGTGAAAGCCGCAGCTGCTGCTGCTGTTGGCACCACCGCTCTCAGTGCCGCGGTAGCGTCTGTGACGTGTGGTGTATAACCAGCGTTTCTCTTCGTGAATTGCTCTAAAGTTTCTCAATGAAGTATTTGATGTGCTTTGGGATAATTTATATTAAGACAAAGTAATTTTATGCCTTCAAAGTTTTAATAGTGGTTATTCAAAGGCAGTGTGAAGATGTGAACTCAATTAAATTTTGCTGAATGCCAAGTCTTCTCGATAGGTTCATTGATTTGTAGTTACAGACATGTTCTGCTCCTGAGTTGTAATTAATTCTTTACAAAAGTATTAAATAACCTCACGTTTGCGAATTTCTAAGAATAATGGAGGAGTGTAACCCCACGTTTAATAATTTGTGGTTAGTGAAGTGTTACAGCTATAATTTACGAGATATTATGGTTGCCACTCACCCCTGGCAAAACAACGGGATTCTTCTGAGTTTACTATTTATGACCGCTTATTGATTTCGTGTTTGTTGAAAATCTATTTTATTTTTAGTTACATTTTTGTACTGGATTATAATTATCTATGTGTGAAATTTAAGCCAAGTCCGAGCAAGTCTACGGATGTTACAACAAACATTCAATTTACTCTCCGGCACCGAGTCTACAGACATAAGTCAGGTCTCGCCATTAACAAATGGCTTGAATTATTTATAATGTCTCTAGTTCGAACCTGTAACTGAGGATAAAATTCTGGCGCGTAGCGGTTTACGGGATCACGGAGGTTACTTAAACGATTGTTTCGACACATCTTTAACAAAATTTGTTATTTCTTTAAATTTGCCCTAAAAAACAAGCGCTAAGTTTCTGTTGCCTCTTCAATGTCACCGAAAATATTATAAATCAACCTTATAAGTGCAATTTTCCTCCGAATTTCGGAAGCAGTTCTAACAAAATACGTTGCGCCATCGACATCTTTTGTCTTGAAGCAGATTACAGGATTACGTAACAGCAAGTTAACAAAATGAGGTTTTTGCTTCAAAGTCTATTCATTATTTCATTGGCACGCTGCTAATTATATTGATGTCTGAGGTAAATGGGCTAAAAGGATTTCAAATGCTAAGCTTTGAATTTAAGTTCGCATGCATGACGAAATCATCTGTTACTGCATGTTAATATTTTTAATATTTAGCGCATTATTCTGCGAACATGCTCTGAATAATATTTTCATAGCAATAAAAAAATGAACCGTCGTATTCATTTGGGTTCACACAGCTGAATGGGGCGGGTTAGGCAGCAAAACTCCAGGACGAAAACTCCTGTCTCAGATTTAATAATCTTGGAACCGCTTCTTGTTTCAAGAATGAAACCTTGTCTAAACAACGCTTACAGTTCTCATCCACTTAAATTGATGATGAAGCTGATCACAGAAAAATTGTCACTGAAGATTTACTAAATTTACATGGAATTTTTGGCTTTTAAATGGTCAATTTGTCGAGTACGAGAAAATATTCTAAAAATTATAGAATTTCAGAGATCCAATGATAAATGCCTGAGAAAAGTCTCTAACTGTAGAATTAGCATCTTAAAAAATTTCCTGTATATTTCTTGATGACTAGAAATTTAAGAGCGAGGAAAACTCCACAAAAATTCTGCATATTTCTACTGAAAATGTTTCGGAGACCAGCTCCATCGTCAATTCGATAAATCTAGAACACAAATACAGTCGGAAAATTAATAAAGTTTGGAGTCAAAAGAAAAAAATAGAAGTTAAAAACCTATATTTACAGGCAAAGGGCAGAATAATAATAAAGTAAATACATATCTATTCAAAATTTCTAATGGATAAGAATTATAGGCTGCATTTAAACTAGGCAATTTAAACTGCAGCCAATAGTTCTTATCCATTAGGAATTGTAAATAGATAGGTATTTACTTTATTATTCTGCCCTCTGCATTCAAATTTAGGTTTTTAACTTCTGTGTTTTTTCTTTTGACTCCAAACTTTATAAATTTATTGACTGTATTTGTGTTCTAGATTTATCGAATTGACGATGGAGCTGGTCTCCGAAACGTTAGAAATATGCTGAATTTTTGTGGAGTTTTCTTCGCTTTTAAATTTCTAGTGAATCTGCGATTCAAGCAATCTAGTGACATTATTTCTTGATGCCGTCTAAGTCGTGAGGCAGTTCAGTTGATGTGACAGGAATTTGCTTGGTCATCCCGAAAGATCTAAAGCATCATTTCAGTCTTTAATATTAGCTTTTATTGCTGCTCTTCCTAGGTGCTTTTATTACGCTCAGTGGCGTCTCTTACTAAGGCCGTTTGCGTCCTCAATGTCTAATAAGCGAGTGACTTTTATTCTATTTATTCGCGACCGGACTTGACGGAAACTCGTAGCCAAATAGAAAAAAGAGCCGTTAATTCATGAGGGTTCTTCTTGTGACCTTGCATTGCACTTATGCTTGACATTTTCCTGATTGCAAATTATGTATCAAATATGACTTGTAATTGCTAGATGTTTGACCGCGTTAGATGTTATTCGTGCCGGGGATTGGTGGATAATTTTGACCATGTTAAGAGATTTAATCTTTCCGTGGAATATGCGAGATAATTTGGACCACCAAAATAGATGTCATTATTATCTGGATTATGCGATAATTTCAACCATGTTAAGAAATTTTATTTTCGGAAAGATTGTAGGATAACACTCAATACTGTGATAACACTTCAACAGATACAAATACAAATAAATAGGACCTCACTTGATAACAAAAATAGAAGGGGCCTGAAAGTTTGAGTTGTGGAAAATGCTTGGAGATATTTGACAAAGGAACGGTGTATTTTTTATTTGTGCTCTAGGGAAATCAGTCGCCTTCTAGCACGAAAGCTGAGAGGCACGTGTCCGTTCCCTGCCATGTAAGCGTCCCGTCCGTCGATAGATGGGCCGTAACACGGCCAATAACTTGCCATAAATTGGCCCCGATACGGCCTTAGGTTCTCATAACTAAGCCAACATGCAATCAATACGGGACCAATATCGGGCCACCGAAACAGAAATATTGGCTAAGGTAAATGCGGTTCGACAGCCAATGTGCGTACAGTTATGAAAACCGTTGATCGGATTGAGAAAAATCTTGAATAGGGTCGTTGAAGTGGTAAGGTTAAGGCAGGGTTGACGAGGTACAGTTGAGGCAGGGTTGAAGTTGTACGGTTAAGGCAGGGTTGACGAGGTACGGTTGAGGCAGGGTTGTAGAGGTACGGTTGAGGCAGGGTTGTAGAGGTACGGTTGAGGCAGTGTTGTAGAGGTACGGTTGAGGCAGGGATTACACGCAATTACATCTTTCACGCATCAGCAAAATGACGCAACAACAACAACTGCAGCGACTCTTGAAGTTTGATCAAAAATCTGCGCATGTCGAGACGTTTTATTGACCGAGGTTCCTAGCATTGAAGCATGGGGAAATAAATTCTAAGTTTTGGAGAAAATACTGAAATTGGAACATGGGTTGGAAATCACTTACTCATTTTGGATTTTGGCTAGTATTTTTAAATATTTATTTTTAACGATGAATTATTTAAGTTTCATATCGCTGGATTCTAAAAGTCCATTTAAATTTTGCTGATGAGTTCTTGCGGATTATACGTTATTTATCTACATAGTTATCGCGCTTCTTCTGCAATCCTCCTCCAGGTCTACAAGCAGTCTAATTTTGAAGTCCAAGTTCTTGAAAGAAATCATATCAAACACAAGAATCATGCTAAAAAACTGACATTGTCTAATTCTTTTTATGTTGAAAATATGACCGAGCCACAAAAAAAGAGCTGTAGGACCGGGATGAAAAAATCGCTTCGTGATTCAATTTCTTGGCCGTTGAAGGCAAGCGAGACCGAAAAGACGGATCGTGAGGCCTTTTTTTGCGAATATAAGAGTTATGGACAATGTCTGAACTGGAATGTATATGAGAAAGCAGTTAATGAAAAAATTATTTTGTATGTCCTATTACATATTCATAATGTTGATTTATGCTGAAAAATTAAAGGTGATCATTTGAAATCTGGCTCATATTGAAGATACAAAACAGCGTTGAGAATTGAGCATCAATTGTTAATTTATGTGTGGAACTAGGCTAGAGTTTTTTTTCGTGAAAATGATGATTTTTTTTAGTTATGTCCGGCGTTCGCTTTAGATGAATGTAAATTAATTTCATGTTGTTGGGTTTGTAAACACCCTAAGATTTAAGCATTTAAACATGCATCCAGTAGTTCCAGTACACTCCTATATTGCATTTAAATTTAAGTTAATTCTGAAAGTTGACTTCACGAAGATTTTCTCTTGCAGAAGAAGAATTATGTATTCCTGCTCAGTGCTCAATACCTGTTAGTAACAATTTTGACTAAGAGTGTTAGAATATCAACCGTTATTATTGTGAAGCCAGCTATTTTTATACGTAAGTCTTAAGGTGTGAACTATAGAGCCATGTCGATGGAAGACAAAATTCTCGGTTCCGGAATGCACAACTCCGTCTCATCCGGTGCCACCGGCATCAGCACACAGCCTCCATCCCTCCTTGGATCTCCTATCCATTCAGCCCCAAACCTTCCCACGAACTCGATCACCCTTCCTTCTACGCCCCATTTTCACAAGAAGTCTCGTAAAAAGCGTAAGGAACTAGACGCTCTCGTCCCAGAGGAGAAGATACGTCGTAAAAGTTCACTGGGAAGCGCCGGCGCGTCCTGCAGTTTTAACGGGGATTCTGACGATACGGAAGGCGGTCGATTAGGATTGCTACCAAAATCTTCGAGTGCAAACTCGACAAATTTGGGAGTTTGGAGCTTCGTCCCTGGAGTGTTCGCCATCGTGCTGGTCGTGGGCACGGCCGTGATGGCGATGGCTGCACTTCGTCTGCTCATGGTCACACGTCGGGACATGGAGACTTTAACAAGGAGACTCGGTTCGGGTAAGATTACTCAGTTGCTGTGCTAAAAAAATCGATTGAACGGTGCATTTCAATCATGCAATTTTTTAAAAAAGACATAAAGACTATTGAATAGCTGCGTTACAAATTCAAGTGAATGCTGTATTTTGCTAAAAGAACTATGCAGATTGCAGACCTTTCATGAGAAATTTGGTCAGAGTAAGATAATTGATATTTTAATCTAAAAAATGTCTAGTGATGATATCACTTCACTCATGAAAATGTGCTTAATTTTCTTAGAAATTTTTTCGGGTAAAATTATTCGATTGCTATTCTTAAGTAGAAAAATGCCCGGTGCGTCACCCGCATGGAAATAGGCATAATTTTAATTGAAAACCTGGTGCTGGTAAAATTATTTGTAACGTTAATAATTCCCTGCGGTCGCACATGATGCGATGGCGAATTAAACCATCTTATCGAGCAAGACAAAAATGTCCAGAACTAAACCTAATAATTCTCACTTGTTATATGACATTATTCAAAATGCGGACAAACGCACAAATTCTTTCGTACTATAAGTTTATTTATACAACCAATCATTTCTACCCACAACATATCTAATCTATAGTTCAAATAAGCAACCAGAAATACCCCTAACATAATTTCTACACTTTTGACACGTGCTCAATTATTTGATAAATGTTTGTTATTTCATACTAAAAAGATAATTTTGCCTGAAAGAATGCGGTCGAAGTCTAGAATTTACACGTGTTTTTCATGGCATCTCCGTTGCAATTTGAGCTTTTAATTATGGGTATTTGTAGAAATTCTGACGATTCTCAACAGATTCTTTTGTTCTCCTTGCTACGAATAAAATATTTGATATATCCAGAGAATAAATTGGCATAAATAGTCTTAATGTCTTTCTTAATGAGCACCGCAAAAAGACAAAGTCATAAATTCTACAGTTTAATGTGCATTTTTGCCCGTTCGTTGCCTAATGAGCTAATTAACCCCACAATTATTGCAGGAAAGTAACTGCCTAAGTTCTTATCCCTCGCCCCAGTCTTTACTCTCGCCATTACTTTCCAGTCAAATAAATTAGCCAGATAATAGATAAAAAGGATTTATTTAGGGAACTTCTCATAGCTTTTTCTCTCTTTATTTATTTAGGAATTTCTCATAGCATTTGTAAATTTGTGTATGTTTAGTTGTATAATGATTGACTCTGTCCAAAAATTTAAGGCGATTTTATTCGCAAGATTTTAAATTTAGTGATATTGATTTTGCTAGAATTGGCTAGCTAATGAGTTATAAATTTGTGAAAATTAACACGAGTGACTCTTGCTATATATGAATGCTTCGAAAGCTCTTCATTATGACACAAAACTAGTCAAATTCTGGTGATGTTTATAGTATAGAACAAAGTCATGCATGAGGAAAATACATGATATAAATGTTTTCACTGAAAACACAATGAAGTTGCTTATAAATATTTTACCGCTTACGCGAGACCGATGAAATATAGATCCCCAAAGTTCCGGAAAGCTTTCCTCATTTCACTTGAAAAGTCGGATATGAACTTCGGAATCCGCTTGGAGGAAAAGTTTCGTTGGATATCTTTCTCCAGGGGCGGTATAGTCGCTGTATCGCAGCAAAAATATGTCAAAATTTCTCATTTTTCGGCTTCAGTATTCGGTTTTCGCTTGAAATTGATATGAAATAATCTATATTTTTACGTTTACCTGATTCTCCGGGCGTCATGGAAAGAAAAAAACATAACATTTAAATTAGGATTCCTAATCGAGAATCCAGTGAATATCCATGTTAAAGTCGATCATGACAGATCGCTATACTGAAATAGTGGTAAAGATAATCAACCTGATATTTGATGACGCAGTTCAATACCAAATAAAAATGCATGAAATGATAACCGGCTCTTCTGTACTCGAAAAATCATGAACCTTTTAACTTATTAATATTCATTTGCATTGAAATAATAATTTCGAGTGCCATTACAACCATTCAATCTAATACTCATGAATAAATTTCATATGCAAGATATTTTGAGGCTGTGTTGATTCCCACCCGAAAAATATCGAATACATGAGTATTTTGTTCAAAAATCCTGCAAATATTCGCCCAAGCTGCCTTTATCATCACAACTGATCTTGAATGTATATATCATCGTTATATTCGCATGGATATAGCGGTGTCATGAATTGGAAATTTAGAAGCGCTTTGAAGCTATACGCAAATGCCGAACCTTCGCCCGCCGTGAGGTCGAAGGAAGTGCTTGTCACTATATAATTCTAAATACTGATTAGGCGTAAAAAAATATGAATTGTATTTTCAGTAACCGTAATTTGCTTACCATTATTTGCGTAACCGTAATTTGCGTGACCATAATTTGCGTGACCATCATTTGCATAACCGTAATTTGCTCAATCGTAATATACGTAACCGTTATTTGCATGACCGCAATTTGCGTGACCGTAACTTGCATCGCCAAAATTTGCGAAACCGTAAGTTGCTGAACCGTAATCTGCGTAACCGTAATTTGCGTAACCGCAGCTTGCGTAACCGCCGCTTGCGTAACCGTATTTTGCATAACTGTATTTTACATAGCCGTAATTTGCGTACTGACGCAAACACAGTGGGCCCAGCGTTCAGACACCTTGATAGAGCCACGCAAGGCCTTGTCTATTAAAAGCGCTGAACATTTCAGCAGCAGATCGATCGCGCCGTTCAATAAAGTCAAGGCTCACATTCGCCTTGGCCTTGCACGTCCTTTCACGCAGTTCTATTCTAAAGATTAATTATTGATATAAGACTTATTAGGTTATTTGGAGGTTGATGTTTCCTTCCAATTACCTGATATGGGGCTTCTTGAGTTCTTGTGTGTTGAAAGACGATTGAATTTATTCAAAATATAGTTAAAAAAAAATTTCCATCTACTTATCCAGACGAAATAAGTTTCTTATCATGATGACTCTTTTTTAGCATTTGAAATTGCTCAAGGAAAAATGGAGTATATGAAAGCAATATGAAAAACTTACTGAAGAAAACTCATTGGCAAAGAACTGCAAACTTTTTGGCAAAGGTGTAAGTAGTTAATGCAAGGATATGGTAGCACCATGCACGCTTCCAGAGGCTATTGAATTCTGTAAAGTATGCAACAATCCAAAGAAGTAGGCTGCATCTTAGAGCAAGTTGCGTTCATTAGCAAAAGAAAAGACTGCAAGATAACGTGACAGGATTAAATACGATGAATTTATTAACGTTTTTCATTATATTATATTACATTATATTATATTATATTATATTATATTATAACTTTTTAAAATTTCTTATTATTATAAAATATGATAAGTTTTGGGGATTGAAATATACAAGCTGAAGAAATGAAACCTCGGCGGTGCAGTGCAACGTGGTTCGCTATCGCACGAGGCTGCGTTCGCTTAAAGAGGATCGTCCGCGATAGTGCCTGACCTCTGGTGCATTGTTGGTGCACCGCCGGTGCACTGAACTTGTTTACTGAGTGCTAATATGGTGCACTAGCGATGCTCTTATGGTGCTGTGCTGGTGCACTAGCGATGCTCTTAGGGTGCTGTGCTGGTGCACTAGTAATGCTCTCAGAGTGCTGTGCTGGTGCACTAGTAATGCTCTCAGAGTGCTGTTCTGGTGCACTAGCGATGCTCTTAGGGAGCTGTGCTGGTGCACTAGCGATGCTTTTAGGGTGCTGATCTTTAATTCGCGATCTCTAATTCGCACCTTGCTGCTGGTCACGTGCCAGGCATATGCCAGTCAAGGTCCGTTCCTTGTCAGGTGCATTCACATGTTCGGTCCGGTCACGGGCCGTCCTTTCTTCATTTCGTATCATCAGCACAGAAGGATGTGTGAGTTTTTCGGTCGCTAGCTGGCTGTCATTAATTGCTATTACTATTAACGACGAAGAAGAAAGAAAGCCAAAAAGAAATTTTGGCCCATCCCAACCATGAAGGTAGAAAATGAAAAGTTGTATTTCAAGCGTTGTACCTTCGTCCTATGGATGTTGAAACTGAATTTAAAATTATTTTCGGATGTACATTGTCACTTTTGAAATCAATCTATCAAAAATTGAGCGAGGGCTGAAATAAGAAAACGCTATATATAGAAAATCAATCATTTTAAGAGAAAGGCTGGTGGTATGTCTAAGGTAAAAGAAAGGCTGGTGGTATGTCTAAGGTAAGAGAAAGGCTGGTGGTATGTCTATGGTAAAAGAAAGGCTGGCGGTATGTCTAAGGTAAGCGAAAGGCTGGTGGTATGTCTAAGGTAACAGAAAGGCTGGCGGTATGTCTGAGGTAAGCGAAAGGCTGGCGGTATGTCTAAGGTAAGAGAAAGGATGGCGGTATGTCTAAGGTAAGAGAAAGGCTGGCGGTATGTCTAAGGTAGGAAATATTGTGCAACACCGTATATTTGACAATATTCAATGATGAGACTTTCAATTATTTTTCATAACTCATTTGATACAAACAAGAGATTTGTAATGCATCAGTAAATTGTTTGCAAACTAGTGATTATCCGCTCTTTTGTAAATCGCGTTTTCGTTCATTTTCTTTAATACTACATATACATGAATATTCCTAGGATAGTCGTATTTTCCGAAAATAAATACATACATTATATTTTATTAAGACATATATTGAAAATGTATTGAAAATAGATATAAAATATAAAAAATAATTAAAAAATATATCAAATATATAAACAATAAATAATTTCATTATTTTTTAGTTTTAAACTCTGAATTGTTTTTATTTTCAATAGAGTTGCAATCCAGTGTGTAATTAGTTTCCTTTTTGATTAATTGATGAACTTGATGTGTCAATGTTTAATAATGAGTGTCATAGTTATCAATTAGTTTACGTACGGCAAAATTGCTTATATAAGGAGTGAAAAGATACCATTTAAACACTTATTAGGACAGAAATACACAAAATGAATATGATGACATTTATTTAAAGAAGGATATTTTCTCCACTTAACTAATTAAAATTCGTGAAAATCGTGAACTTTTTTTTATTTAAGTAATAGAAATTTCAATTTAATGAAGAGGAAAGGCGATCAAACAAAAAATTCATCGCTGGTTTTCAAGGGAACATTAATTCAAATAAAAAATGATCCTTTCCCTCTTTCATGTTAAAATCTCTTTATAAAATGTAGAATCTCTCTTTTTCATTGGAATATAAACTTTCAATGAGAATAACTCAGAATCATCCGGCTTCGCCCACACTTCAAATAAATCGCAGAAGTGGTGGTGGCAACTGATGGGTTTACTCCTGCTTTGTTGTGTTATGAATGTCTTTATTTTTAATACTCGTTGAAGTTGTGGTAGAGAATTTGGACTCAGCAGCTGATGCGGGTGTCACTGAGCCTGCAAGTGTCGGATTGTTTTCTTTAGGAATATACTTTACTTCTAATTCACTCACTAAGGAAAACACTTTTGATTTAACGTAATGCTGGTCAGCTGGGTGAAATTTCTTGACTGTTGTTGCCATCAACGAAAAAAAGATATCGATTGGGTCCGTAGACTGCTCCTCTCTTTTTATATCAACTAAATATGTCATCAGTGTAGCAAAGGCACTGGTATCATTGTGCTGTAGTTTTCTTTTGAGAGTGCGAGGTTCCTGCTGAGAGATTAAAGCATTTACAGAAGAATTTTCGTCATTTGCTTCACGCACTTCGTTGCATAATTGCTGTGCGCTGTTGTCTTCAGCGTGACCTATTTCTTCAGCATCTTCAATTTCTGTAACATCTTGTTCGGGAGATGGTATTTTCTGTTTTTCTTCTAATAATGAACGCAAGAAAGACATTCGGTCTTCATATTTCCATTTTGGTTTTCTGTCAGCCGATTGTCCACTCTTTGTCAGTTTGTTCATGTACTTGCGATATTGCCCCCGCAGGCTTTCCCATCTGTCTTTGCACTTGGACCCTGAGAACAAGTAGAGGTTGCAATGAGTTAGCCTTTATGTTTTCTTATTACAGGTTTCTGGCTACAGCTAGGAGATTCAAGCATAAGAGTAGCTTTCAGCTACCGTATCGGTCATACAACTACGCATACTATATATTGACCTAAAAGTGTGTCATGCGATAATCAAGATCCAATGATATGTAGAAGCTATACCTACTGGAAGATACGGAGACTGGAAGAAAATTGCTAATGAATGTTGGACGTAGAGGAACTTCCCTAACTGAATTCGTTCATTCGATGGTAAGCATGTAGTCATTGAAACAACAGCAAACAGTGGTTCCCTATATTTCAACTACAATAACATGTTTTCAGTGTTATTTATTAGATTTGGTAGACGTTAATTACAGGCTCTTTCATGCGCAAGCATATGGCAAAAACAATGACACTGGAATCTTTTAAAACTGCAAACTTTGCATATTTATAGACGAGGGCCAATGGAATGTACCAACTGATGTTGCACTTTCTTGAAGAAATGAGCTCTCACCCTATAATATAGCTGGAGATGATGCTTTCTCACTAAAAACAAATTTAATACGGTCATATCCAGGCCCACAAACTAAACACGATGTGACGAAAAGGACACAACTTTCGTTATCAGGAGCGAGGAGGATGGTTGAGTGTTCATTTGGCATACCAACCGACCTTCAGGTTACATAAAAGAAAAAGCAAATCCTTCGAATACTAACACAGTTATTACAACTACATAAATATCTTTCAATCTAATACATTCTAACATCGTTTCGATACCAGAAACTCCTGACATGCCCTATCCTAATACTCCCAATGAGACGAAGAGGCGAAATGCCGCATGAGAGGCATTGAGCGTGAGAGAGACAATGAAAGACTATTTCAGTCGAAGTTAGAGACACAATGAAATACTATTCTATTGGTTTGGAGCACTGGCAAAATGACAAATTATAAACATTCACAGTAGTGTGAACCTTACCTTCGTAACCGATCTGTTTGACTATATGCACCCAACTTCTTCTTTTGGTCACTGCATCGCTGTAGTATTGTGATGAGTAGTCATACAACTCAGGCCTCGCTTTCACCAGATCAATGAGGAATTCATCTGAAAGTATGAGATGTAATTAGCACTAATTGTGGTGTTTATGTTAGAAAAGATGATAAAGTACATCCTAATTACGCAGTTGTTAAAAATTTGTAGTTAAGTAAGTTGTTTTTGGTAATTATTTGAGTGCTTCAGTTTTGTGAGCATTTCTATCTCGAGGAATATTCAGAGTCTTACTCAATTAAATTCTTACAAATCAAAGTTAATATTTCCAACGCTCATGATTAAAAAATCTACCTTTTAATGTAAAAACAATTACCCTTATTTGTAACGAAATGGGGTATCTTTCGATACTTCGTTTCTTAACTTATATTTTTTTACAACAGTTCGTATCTGTATGAAACAAAGCACCTTAACCTAGGTACTTATAGAAATCATATTAAATTGTGTATATTCAATTGTGTATATTTGTGACAATATTCAATTGTTTACATGCCTTTTGTGTGATCCCATTGTTGTCTGGCGTTACTTCTATCCATCTCGTATTTGTTTTGAAGATCAACGGAGGCACCAACACTCCTCTTGCCCAGAGATATGCTACCGGACTGAACCTTTGCTAATTCACACAGCCGTGCAAGGCACGTGCCATGCCAGTCACGTCCCGGTCATAATATCTTTTGCATTGATCGTGCCTTTCATGGCAGGTGCCTTGTATGGCTGGAGTGAATACATCCATAGAAATGCATTAAAGAATATTTGACTGGACCTTGACTGGCATATGCCCTGCACGTGCCCGGCAGTGTGGGGTGAATCAGGCATAAGGGTGCTAGTGCACTAGCGATGCTCTTAGGGTGTTGTGCTGGTGCACTAGTGATGCTCTCAGGATGCATGCTGTGCTGGTGCACTAGCGATGCTCTTAGGGTGTTGTGCTGGTTCACTAGCAATGCTCTTAGGGTGTTGTGCTAGTGCACTAGCGATGCTCTTAGGGTGTTGTGCTGGTGCGCTAGTAATGCTCTTAGGGTGTTGTGCTGGTGCACTAGTAATGCTCTTAGGGCGTTGTGCTAGTGCACTAGCGATGCTCTTAGGGTGTTGTGCTGGTGCACTAGCGATTTTCCTAGGGTGTTGTGCTGGTGCACTAGCGATGCTCCTAGGGTGTTGTGCTGGTGCACTAGTAATGCTCTTAGGGTGTTGTGCTAGTGCACTAGCGATGCTCTTAGGGTGCTGTGCTGGTGCACTAGCGATGCTCTTAGGGTGTTGTGCTGGTGCACTAGTAATGCTCTCAGCGTGCTGTGCTGGTGCACTAGCGATGCACAGAATAAGCGTGCACAGCAGATGAATTCTATGACCACTTGTGAGGCATGCCGTGCTAAATATTACTTTAAGATTTATTGCAACTTATTACGATTCGTTCCGAACCACAAAATGAGGTGTCTTGCAGAGTCATATGGCAGAGTTGCAGACTGCGGTGTCTTGCAGAGTCATATGGCAGAGTTGCAGACTGCGGTGTCTTGCAGAGTCATATGGCAGAGTTGCAGACTGCGGTGTCTTGCAGAGTCATATGGCAGAGTTGCAGACTGCGGTGTCTTGCAGAGTCATATGGCAGAGTTGCAGACTGCGGTGTCTTGCAGAGTCATATGGCAGAGTTGCAGACTGCGGTGTCTTGCAGAGTCATATGGCAGAGTTGCAGACTGCGGTGTCTTGTCAGCTGAATGACTGTCAAGCTAAGAGCTGTCATCGTGTCAAAGCTCTATATTATTTTACAATAAATTTAGCTCAAATGTCACTCATAAATCAGGTACAAAAACCAGCAGACTCACTTTTATCCAATCGCTGTATCCCCCAACACAAACACTCAGAGAAGTGAATGGGTTATATTGTTTTAGTAGTGAAACACTCTCTTACCCACAGGACGAGCAGAGAGCACCGATGAGCCCTTTTGCCGAGCCAAAGTGGGTCAGGATGACACATCCTAAAGAAAAAAGAGCATTGCAATTAGGACAAAGTCTAACAAATTTCTTTGAGTTCATTCGGACTTCCGCGTTTGGCGGCCGCCGCTTCTATTGATTGCCTGGGGACGGGGGAAGTGGGGACGGGGGAAGTGGGGACGGGGGAAGTGAGGACGGGGGAAGTGGGGACCGGGGACGTGGGGCTGACCATTTAAAATCACCATCTTCAGATCAGGTTATCAGATGACAAAACTGATATATGTAGCCAGAATATTTACTCAATCAGCAGTAACTCTGATATTATCTTTTTGAGTTGAGCAGTGGAGATAAATTTATTTGTTCAATATTTCATAAAATATTTCTGACCTAAAAATTGGAAACGAATTTATTCATGTTTTAATTAAATATTTTCGACTCCTACAGTGGAGGCGCGTAGTTCGGAGCTGCCGGCGCGGTTCCACGAGGCGCACGTTCGGCTGCAGGCGCTGCAGCGCAACACCAGCGCGCTCTGGGACGCCGCGCAGGCCTTCAGAGACGCGCTCGACACGCACGCCAGCAAGGCGAGTGTCTGCTGCAGTCTGAGTTTTTATTATTATTATTATTGTTATTATTATTATTTTTATTATTATTATTATTAATGTTATTATCATTATTGTTATTATTATTATTATTATTATTAATATTATTATTATTATTATTCCACGAAGCGATTGTCGTGGCGTCTCGTTCAGATCAAACTTCGAGGGCACGTTACAAGTGGCTAAAAATACACGAAAAGACTGCGAGTTGTTGGTGGCAGGATGAAATTCTAGGACTAATTTATCTATTATGAATCTAATTATAGGATCAAGATTTATTGAGCATAATAATTTGACAGGATGAAATTCTAGGACTAATTTATCTATTATGAATCTAATTATAGGATCAAGATTATTGAGCATAATAATTTGACAGGGTGAAATTCTAGGACTAATCTATCTATTATAAATATTATTATAGGATCAAGATTATTCAGCATAACACTTTGACATGGTGAAATTCTAGGGCTAATCTATCTATTATAAATCTAATTATTGGATAAGCATTTATTGAGCATAATAATTTGACAGGATGAAATTCTAGGACTAATCTATTTATTATAAATATGATTCTAGGTCAATATTAATTGAGCGTAATAATTTGATCAGTTGCTGGTGGTTTTGGTACGAGTTGGTGATGGTGTTTAAGATCCAGGGCACGCAACTGATTATTCAATCATTCCAGATTGAATATCGGCTATAACTATTTGTCTACTACCGATGATTAGCGCCATGATTATACGTATTAGTAGACTGAATTCCACTTAGTTTAAATGAAGGTGAGACATTATTATTTTTTGAATTTAGCTTCACTGAATAGTTAGCTTTATTAACCTAATGCACAAAAATATTCTCGCTGTTTTAAAATTTGTGTAGTAAATTACCACTGGATGAACGGAGTGAGTCAAAATGAATATAAAGAACGGGATAAACTGTCGTCGTGATTGGTGCAGGTTGACAAGCTGCAGGTCGAAGTCAGCAGCCTGCAGAGCTCCGTGCAGGCCAGTCCCCTGCTGTCCTCTGTGCCGCAGGACGTACAGGCTCTGCAGGTCTCAGTGGCGTCGTTTGGCAGCACTCTGCAGGACCTACAGAGCGCCCTCCGAGCTGGCAAGGCTGACCAGAGCACCGCTCATTCTGACCTGCAGCTGGTTAAGGTCTGCATTTCGTTATTAACATAGTTTAATAAATCGTACCAACATTAACGTTCATTACATAATATAATGATATAAGCATAAGTCGTTGTTAACATGATACCTTCGCACGAAATCATAGCCTCATGATTGAGAGTTTATATCTTCGCACCCGTTTTTTATCACGTTTTTCTTAGCTCGCTTTCGTGTCTGTGATGATCAAATCTTGCAATCGATATTTCACCAACTTTCCCATTAGCTAGCGCTCTGAAACATATATCAGCAATACACTTATCAAATGTTCAATGAACCATCATATTCATCATATCAAGTAATCACCAAACAATTAAATACACATGCGCCCCAAGTTTTTCGTTTTAGATGTTGTAAAATATTTTAACTGAAATACAAAAGACCAAGAGAATGAAAGCAAACAGAGATCAGTAGCTGCCGAAAAATTATTTTCTACTTTCGAGTCCACATGAAAAACGTGGTCTTTAAAAATTTTTTTTATACATTTTATATTCATAAAACATTATGTACAATAGTACGTCTTGCTTATGGCCCACGTGTATCATGAATTAATAATTAATGATTTCTAATAAAATTTATTAACAAAACTAAGATTATTCTATTGCTTATTCTCACGTTGGTCCTTGATGGGAGTTACGATATTAGTAACGCTATAATATCACTAAAAAACTGCGCTGCAACTCATCCACACGACAACATTTTTTCTCGCTTCGAATCACCGACATGTGGAACAGCCTCCCCGATGACATCGTTGGCACTCCGAGTATGAACGCGTTCAAGAACAGACTAGATAAAGCTATGGAAAAATATATGTTCAGACTTGAAATGCCTAGCACCATATCGAACCCGGTGGAAGTATAGTAGCTATTTCAAACTATCGTCAGTCTTGAAAAAATCCGATCAAAGGACCTGCCTTTGGATCTTTTATGAACAAGGCACGAAAAGTTCAAGAATCGGCGACAGGCCACAGCAGGCCTACTCCTCAGCGCCGAAATTGCTATGTTAATATCATTAAAAATCTTCATCATATTTTATGTTATAGACATGAAAAGTGCAGCGAGAATGTCAAAATAATCGATTAACGAAGCTAGTAAAGAAAAAAAATTACTAGAACTATCAACTATAAATAGACACACTGATCATTCAAAGATGATCAATGTGTTAAAATGATTTGATGAATCATTAAATCATTAAAAATGATTTGATGATTCATCAAATCATTTTAACCCTCATCAGGCTGAGACAAGTTAAAAAAATTAGCGTGATCACGATTATAATTTTTAAGGTCGTTAAGCTCATCTGACCGCAAATATGACCTTAAATCACAGGCAATATCTTAGAGTTTAAACTTCAATATGTAACCATGCACCATCCCATGCAGGTAATGAAGAAGTGTGAAAATTTCACTATTAACCACCAAACCTTCGTAAATCACGCATGTTTAACTATATGAACGTGCTAGCTAACTAGCTGAAGCATTGGTAAACATGAGGTCACTAATTAACCTAACTACATAAACGTGCATCATGATAGAACGCGATAGACATCATGATAGAACGCGTCGTAAATCACGCATGTTTAACTATATGAACGTGCTAGCCAAAAATCGAAGCACTGGTAAATATGAGGTGACTAATTAACCTAACTACAAGAACGTGCATCATGATAGAACGCGATAGGCATCATGATTGAACGCTTCTTGAATCACGCATGTTTAACTATATGAACGTGCTAGCTAACTAGCTGAAGCGCTAGTAAACAAGAGGTCACTAACTAACCTAACTACATGAATGAGCTTCATGATACATGCCCCGGCACAGGCTGCGGTGTCGGCGCTGCAGGAGGCCACAACACTGCCGTCCGAGGCCGGCGGAGGGCCGGTTGGGGCCGCGGTGACGGCCCTGCAGCGGCACCTACAGGCGCTTGAGGCGTCTTTCCAGACAGCGCTGGGGAATGATACGTCCTGGCACACGAACCTGAGTGGTAGCATCCGGCAGATCAAGGTGAGATGATAGTTATACTGAGAGTGATCCCTGAGTGTCAGCATCAGGAGTTAAAGTTGGAGGATAATGATACTGAGAGTTATTCCTGAGTGACAGCATCAGGAGTTAAAGTTGGAGGATAATGATACTGAGAGTTATTCCTGAGTGACAGCATTAGGAGTTGAAGGTGGGAAGACAATCATTCCTATTCTTACAAAACGACAGCAAACAGCGGTTAAATGACAGTGAATGTGCGATAGATGTTGAGTATTTACGTAGCCAAATTACATCAATAATTTTATTATAACTGTAAATGCGTTAGCTTCCAAACTGCGTGAATCAAATGAGCTTCAAAAGTCCATACGTTAAATTTGTCCCCTAAAGAATAACTTTAGTCGAAGTGATTTGCAAAAAAATTGTATTTAAATTTCATTAATTTTCAGTTTCTGCGCATTCCTTATTCAATAGTAAATATTTGTTCGTTTTCATCCAAAAATTGCAGTAGTAAGTAACTGACCGCGTCCTTACTTTCAGAATCAACAAGAAAGTCAAGACATTTTGGTGAAGAATATCACCGAAGAGCTTCATAACCGAGCACCACCATCGTCAAGTAATGACATCGTCACCACTTTGAGGGATGACGTGAAGAACATAAGCGATGAAATTCACAAACTGCAACGTCTTAACGAAGCCATCGATGATCTCGCTCAGGTATGAATAAAACCTTGGTTAAAGTTGAATTTTATTTTTGAATATTTATTATTCTTTATCAATTTTGACGCGAAAGTTTAATTCGTGCGCGTACTGAAGAGAGTTATAAGGGAATATACTGTAATGAAATTCGAATTTCTTGGTGTAAATTGCAATAAGTTACACGAAACCTACGTTAGAGAACGTATTCATAATGAAAATTTAACTTTTTCAATAGGTTAATAGAAACTTGAATGCATCTCAGAAAACCGATTGTGCTTAACTCCATAATATAAAATTTGCATTAGTGTTAACAATGTAAAATAATTTTACCTCTAAGGCATTATGTGGATTTGAAAATATATGCTGCATAAGAATCTTTTATTTATTTCGTTATCTTTCAAGCAGAATGTCAGTGTGGTGAAAGGCGTTGAAAAGAAGCTTGAAGGTAGTCAGCTTCAGCTTGCCAGCAGTGTCAGTTCCTTGAAGCAGCAACTGCTTGCGCTTCAGCACTCAGTTTCAGCGCTGACACCGCTGACCACGACCACAGCTACTCCTGACAACCACCCACTCACAACTGCGTACTCCAGACAGCGTAGATCAGCTGACACTGCTGGAAATTCCGACAATGAAGCTGACTTAAGTGCTGAATATGACTTGGAGTCTGAGTATCATGAGTACTTGGAGCCTGAGGATCAAGAGTATGAGGGAAATTTGGGAATTGATGAGCCAACAATTTTGGAGCAGGAGACTGACATGGCGAATAATAATGAAATTGATAATGGAGATTCAATACGAAGAGGCGGAATGATAATCAATCGTAACGAAGTGAATGGTGCTTTTATGAATGGGAATGACAATTACAGGATCGGTCATTTAGGAAATCCAGAAACGCCTGTCTCGATGCCTGCAACAACAGAACACGAGACAGAAGTTTCGAGATCATCGGATGCGGTCATTGATAAAATCCCAACATCAGATGCAGGTGCGTTTGGAAACGGCGATAAATAATGCAGAATAATAAAGCAGGTTAGTGAATCTTTCCTTTTTTTATTCCAAAATGGTTTTATTATTTCAAATCTTTCTTCTTTTTTTATTACAAAAGGAATTTTTTTACAAACATTTGTTCTTTTTCTTTTGTTTTATTCAAAAGTGATATTTTTTACTCCAAATCACTGCTGTAAATTTAAGTGCGGAGATAGAACGTAAGTAAGTGAGGCTGAAAACTAATTGCAGTTTCTTTTTCAAGTTTTTTTTCACTTTTCAAGGAAAAGTGTACAAAAATTCAGTATTGTCAATATACTTTGATATTGAAGGGACAAAGCCTGATCAATGAGCTTTGCTGCACCGGGTAAAGTACGAAAGCTTTGCTATGATTCCGGACTTGGGTGTTATTATATTATAACTTTTTGGAAATATTTGACATTAACACGTTAAGTTCATGGGCATCTCGTCAGGCAACCTGCCATACCGGATGAGATGGATTTTAAAACCCTTTAGAGCCCAATTTATTAAGTTCCTGTGTAGAATGTGGTGCTATTGAAGAATGGACTTAGTTATACTTCTACTTTGCATCCAGTCGGTGATTGTGCGAATTTCAAGAAGAAAAGGATTAATTAGTAAGAAATTTATTTGGTTTGTTTGGAAGTTTCGGAATATATGCCCTGTGATTTACTTGTGTTTGGTATATATATTGTGCGAGGTGTGCGGGTTGAGGGATAAAATTGCGTAATGTGAACTTGTACCTGAGTGATATGTACAAGATGTAATGATTTATCTGACTTTCACGCCTTGGTGTCCTGCAAGGGATATTTTTTTCTTGTATGTGGACGAATTTGTGATGATGGTTATGTACTAGAAGGAAATTGACGTGTAAAATTCCGCACATAAGGAAATTTAAATTTCGTACAAGCGCTACGACGATGAACACGTACCTATTAGTGCTTATACGTAACAATATTGTTATAAGAGTGCTGAAATTTTTACTTGTCATTTTCTTGTCATTTTTTAAATGAATCTCACGATATGTACTAACGATTAAATATCTGGTACAGCACCGTTTTTTTGCCTCATGTTTTAAAATAAATTTTTGCAATATTGTTCTGATTTTATTTTGCACTGAAAATATTGCTTTTTGTTGCAGGCACCCCCAACTAGCGACTGCCTCCGTCAACAACTGACATCCCTTCGAATGGTTCAAGATCTGGTGCCAACATACTACGTTCGTTGCGTCTTAGGCAATATAAGTCACAACAAAGGACCGCTCATATCGTGCAAAGACTCGCATTATGTGCACCGCTCGAAATGTGACCAGGAAATACCAAGGCGTTCTGGAAGATTTTCCTTTCAACTTTTCCGATATGTTTTGTGAGATGAATGTGTTCTAATGATTGAATGGCTTAAAATCAATTGGAAGATAGAGGAACTGTTTTATGAAATTAATTTTGAAGAGAAGCAAGGGATACGAAAGGGTCAAATGAATTGTCGCTTATGTAGATAACTGCTGTTGCCTGTTATGTCTGATCAGGAAAAAGAAAAAAGAGCCGAGTTTTAATAAATTGCGCTAAATTTGCCTTTTTTTGGTAAAATTAATTTTTTTGGAAAGTTTACATATAGGCGATCTAAGTGTGGAGTATTGAACGATTATTTTATAGATTGAAATGCAACCAAATGCGAATCGATTGTCTTACTAACGTCATCATCTGTGCAAATCACAATCCAAACTCCAAGATACTTTCAAAACCTAATATGTAAAAAAATATATTTTCAACCACTAATGATTCAGGTTACCGCTCGCTATTTACAAGTCGGTTATAATCCAGCCTTGAGCAACGACCTAACGCGGCAAGTGTAAACGCTTTGTGCTTCAAGATTTTCGGCAGTGTTTTGTGAATGTCAATTGGTTACATGCTTACTGCTTGTCCCTATCAGCTTCATGCTATTGTCATGATTCTTTGAAACTTTTAAGTTTCTTTATGAATTTCGTGTAAGCAGGTTCTTGAAGCAGGTTTTCTATGAGGCGGAGGTTAGTCCTAACATCGCAAAAAATGTACAGCTTGCTGTGAATTAATGTAGAAAAATTAAAATTCGTATGTAAAATTATATAATTTTGGATGACTTGTAATTCAATGGGTCCCTAATTTCTGACTTAAAGGTAAATATAACACAAATTGAATAAACGACTCTAAGAAGACGGACGCCAAACTATAAACAATGTCTGCTGCGTAGAGCCCAATTCTTTTAGCTAGCGGCTGTCTTTCGCAAGTGAACTCGCATTGCGCAGTATTATTGTCATAATATCAGTATCCGTTACCCATAATTACCAATTTTGCAGGAAGATGATGATGTTTATGAGAAATGATGTTTATGAGAGATGATGTTTATGTGCAGGAAGATGATATGCTTGAGTGTTATTGCATTTCTCGTCTTCATGCTTACATGTTATGCTCCTCTGGCCGTCCACTAAAACTTTTGTCTAACCTAGCACTGAACCTAACATCCTTAATTAATTAAGCGAGACTACATTAATTACGTGTTTTATGAGGCTGATATTAACAGCCCATCACTTACGTATTTTTTGGTCGATGTTTCTCACCCAATGATAATATCATTGGTCATAATATTCAAAGACTATAGGTTTGCAAGGATTAATAATAAGACTTTTTAGTTTAGTTTAAGTATTCACAACGAAAATTAGAGATATTTATTCCGCTTAAAACAATTTTATGTTGCATTCGAGTATCGAGGTTAATAAAGCAGAAATTTTAGCGTATTTTCGCCTGACGGGCGTAGCGAATGTATTCTTTATAGTTATCTCATTAGCATTAGCATCTAATTTCTTATTATGCTTCTCAATTATCAGTAACTGCTTTGTTCGATCATGTCAGAATTTGCAGCGCTTGTAAGAAAAATTTACGTGAAAAGTAAAAAGTTTATCGCCGTATATTAGTTCACTTTATGAAATAAAGCGTAGGCATTTAGACGAATTTCGATGTAAAAATATGGTGAAACTAAGCTTAGGTTCTGAGGTGAAATTTTTGTTAATCAATAATGCATGTTTCTTTGTTCGTAATTGTGAGAGCGATTCCAGAGAAAATTCGTCATTCCAGGCATGCATAATTGGATTCACTATACGGAAGAGAGTAATAAAATATTTCTAAGTGTGCTGATGTCCTGTTCAGAGTTACGTTATTTATATTTCATACTATATTTGCTCTGAAAATTAAATCCCGGGATAACGAATGCCTCATTAAAGTTCTGTGCAATAAACCTGCCTCGTGTTACGAACATACCTAAAAATATGGAGTCCATTGACTGCTGGATCATGTCAATGTTGGCTATCCGACTCTTCATTCACAGAGCCTCTAGAAACTTTAGAATTCCCTTTCAAGTTATATACAGTAAGTTATTACAACTTACAACGTTAACGTTACTTTGCAGAAAATAGTGCAAACTGTTTTAATGGTGATTAAAGCCAGCATTTTTCATATATCAAGTGACAAAATTATAGCACGCTGCTTTACGCGGTAGACACGAAATACAGTTCATTAGACGGGAAGACAAGTCCAGTAGAATTCTCAAGTATATTGATTGGACTTTCCTTAGCAGCGGCCCGTTGACAACTTATCGCGCCAGCAACGTCCGTTCAACAGTATGTGAAATCACATGCATAACGTCAATAAAATGCCCAACAAAGAAGCTAGTTCCAGTTATAATAAACAATCTTCATATGTGTAACGCAACTAAGGTTAGTGAATATTTTCATCTTAATTTGTTCGTTAGTTCCTAAAAGCTTCGTGAATGGAGACGTCGGTCGTGTTGTCTTAGGGTTACATTTAGAGACCAATTTGTTGTTAGTAGGAGAGCTTTGTAGTTGTTAAGGCAGCTTCACAGAGTTCAAATTACGGAAGGCCGTGCGACCGATATTGTTCCGCGCTCCGTAAAACATATGATTGCATTTGGTTTTAGGCTCATTTACCTTAGGCCAACCAGATCTCAGCAAACCGTAGTAACCTAATAAGAATTTTGTCGTTCATCTTCGACATTCCGTACTTTGAATTCTGAGTAGCCAGTCTATAGATGTTTCGTAGATATAGTAACAGCTTTTGAGTGTATCACGTCTCCATCATGTGGCATTTGACGCGGCCAACACTTCGCTAGCGAGTCTTGATTTATCTTAAAGCATCAACTTTCCAGGGCATAGGTGCTCTTATCAGAACAGGGCGTATTTTCGCTACTGTTTGTCAATAACGCCAGCTTTGGTCACCAGATTTTTTCTCAAGTGAAAAAAGCTGGTACCGATCTCTTCTTCACCGAAGAGTTCGGTACCGAAAATTATACCGAACTCTTCACAAGCGAAGAAGTTTGGTGCTACACGTACGTCGTCACTTGAACTAATTTTTCGTTGTTGACTTGAGTATTTTAACTTATTCCGATGTAAGTATTGTAATGCGGTCGCTGAATTCAGCTGATTGCATCACGGCGAGAATTCGACTTAAAACTAATGATGTTCCGTTTTGTGTATGTATTTTAATCGCTCGCATAGCATTTCTGGAATAAAATTCAATTGTTTAAGAACCTTTCAAAAGGTGATGGAAAGTTTCTAAATAAATTCTTTACATGAAATCTATCTATTCCCATTTCAATTTTTTCAAAAAAGCTGCGCTGTTCATCGCATTCCAAATAACCGAATTAAATGTAAGTCCTGACACGAAATATCACAAGACTCGTTTTTCTTGCTATTTTGAAGCTGTTTTAAATTCGTTTAGCCTACAACAAGGAAATACTATTCGTTAAAAATATAGAAATTTCTGAGCTAGCAGCCCGGCAAAACTGGAAATTTCCCCATTTTTTCTATTATTCGCAGTCTCTATATACACATATATACATATATATATACAGTGGGGGGAAATAAATATTCGTACACTTGAAAAATCGTATTTTAATGTATGTAAGTACACAAACTTAACAGGAAAAGTGATTTAAATTATGTATAGAGACGCATAGTATTCAAAAATACTATCAAAAGAAATTAAATCTCAATGCAGCAAAAACAATGCAACATGTTCACTTTTCGGGTGAAAAAAGTATTCGTACAAAACAATAAATCCGCATTATTTTAATTTAATACTTGGTTGAATACCCTTTATTCAGCTCAACAGACACCAGTCTATTTCTATACGTCTCGACCAATGATTTGCAGATGCTGACTGGTATTTTATACCATTCTTCTATTAAAATAATGCGGATTTATTGTTTTGTACGAATACTTTTTTCACCCGAAAAGTGAACATGTTGCATTGTTTTTTGTTGCATTGAGATTTAATTTCTTTTGATAGTATTTTTGAATACTATGCGTCTCTATAAATAATTTAAATCACTTTTCCTGTTAAGTTTGTGTACTTACATACATTAAAATACGATTTTTCAAGTGTACGAATATTTATTTCCCCCCACTGTATGTATAAACCAGATTACAAATGAAGGAATTACAATTACCTTGAATAAAGACAAATTTTATCAATAAAGTTCTATTTGTCACTTGCGAGGGGCCTTTATTTTTAAAGAAACCTACACAGAACCGGCCATTCATTTATTTTAGTAGGTATATTTGTGAAGTACTAGGTTACCAACAACGACCCTAGCGTCCACATACATCACTCTAGGAACGCTCTCGCTGCTTCTAAGTAATCCTCGCAAATGCTAAATAAAATAATGAACACGACTAATATAGAACTAAACACTCGCTGGAGCGTCATGTATGACATGTCATAGATTAAACCTTATACCAGAACATTTATGTCAACATGTAGATATAATATGTCATCGCTTTCATACTTAGTCGAAAGTAACTAAAATGTGACAAAAAAAATCACATTAAAAATCAGCGGTAATCATAGCTGACACCGCAAGCTGCAGTCATGCCCTGAGAAAAAAATATTTCACCGCGGATGAAGTAAGTAAATGTGCCACATTACTACGCAAGCCACAAAAAATCATGACCTTAAAAGCTACGAAATCACGAATTAGAAGATATTACAAATTTACAATACCAACACATTATTAAAGCTGCAAGTAATTTATACACAAACACCTACAAATAATATTTTATTTCCAACACTTTCAATCTTAACTTATATAGATTCATTTACAATTTTCCAAACACTGCTTCCGATCGGAAGTTCAGTAAGGCACAATTTCTTTGTGGTGGTATATACATCAACTGCATACATAATAGCCGCTATGGAGGGAAAGCATTACTCTACAACCTTACATAGTGGCACGCAGTACCTTTTTAAGAAAGATATAATATCATCTTATAAGCCATCGGGAAGTCCCAGTGTAACCCATTCTAGAATGTGTCAAACTAAGGGTTACACTTTACTATGAATTAAAAATTAAACGTAGAAACGTATACCAAGTAGTAAATAAAGTAAAATAATTCACTTTTAGTAGAGACCATTATTACATAACTAGCCCAGAGTTAGTCGAGCCGACACCAGGTTCACAAGAAGAGTAATCGCACAGAAATTCAAAAAATCACTCATCACAAACAGGCCATAGCGCCTCGACTGGCACAAACAGGCCATAGCGCCTCGATTGGCACAAACAGGCAAGAGTGACTCGATTGGCACAAACAGGCCAGAGTGACTCGATTGGCACAAACAGGCCATAGCGCCTCGACTGGCACAAACAGGCAAGAGTGACTCGATTGGCACAAACAGGCAAGAGTGACTCGATTGGCACAAACAGGCCAGAGTGACTCGATTGGCACAAACAGGCCATAACGCCTCGACTGGCACAAACAGGCAAGAGTGACTCGATTGGCACAAACAGGCAAGAGTGACTCGATGGGCACAAACAGGCCAGAGTGACTCGATCGGAACAAACGGGCCATAATGCCTAGATTGGCACAAACAGAGCTGAATGCCTCGATCGGAACAAACGGGCCATAATGCCTAGATTGGCACAAACAGAGCTGAATGCCTCGATCGGAACAAACGGGCCATAATGCCTAGATTGGCACAAACAGAGCTGAATGCCTCGATCGGAACAAACGGGCCATAATGCCTAGATTGGCACAAACAGAGCTGAATGCCTCGATCGGAACAAACGGGCCATAATGCCTAGATTGGCACAAACAGAGCTGAATGCCTCGATCGGAACAAACGTGCCAGAATGCCTAGATCGGCACAAACAGAGCTGAATGCCTCGATCGGAACAAACGTGCCAGAATGCCTAGATCGGCACAAACAGAGCTGAATGCCTCGATCGGAACAAACGTGCCAGAATGCCTAGATCGGCACAAACAGGACAGAAAGCCTCGATCAGCAGAGATTCCATCACATCAAAGATTATTCACGCGCAACAAGTGGCGGAAGGTCTAGAGGCAGCAGCGCGTTGAAGCCTGCAAGAAATAAGCTGCGTCAGCATCTCAAGAGAGGTGGAGCTTGTAAAAAAGCTTGAAGCTTGGGCAAAAGAACAAAAACAGAAACGAATATCACAAAACGAGACGCACAAAGATGCACTGCGAGCCAAGGAGCACAAAAAAGATCTGTCCGTAAAGTTGAATTTATTTTAACAATGCCCTTGAACAACAAATATTTCAGGGGTGATGACGAACGATGCCCTACGTCAGACACACCGCATGATCAGAGTAATCTTTTTAAACTGCAACTGAACTTTGAACGATAGCATAGCCTTACTAAATTAAACTTCTGTTGAAAGAAGAAAAATGAAGATGAATTCAATGCAAAGAAAGAAAGACAGCTTTGAGTTGCGTTTCAAGTTTGAGACTAGACTACGGTACCGCACCTTCCACGGATGCGGCTAAGAAAGCCTCTAAAAATCGAAGATGGACAAGCCATTAAATAAAAGTAGAAGCAACGAAGGGAAGTTCTTTGGATATTAGCAGAATTTTAGATATAGCCACTCATTAAATGTGACATGAATCGTCTCAATAGCGTAACCAAAACGTAGACTGTTTAAGATAAATCAGCCAGTTTGCCCAGTTCAACAATGAAATGCAGAGATGTTATGATAGGATACAGTATCATCAAGAATCAAGGATACTTATAATTGGCAGGAAACGAACATAAACTGGCAACTGTCGAGGTGATCAAGTTAAATACATCTCTTTTTAACCAACTCTTTTAAATTACATAAAATAAAATATCAATAATGTCTGAAACAAAATGAACAATATTAATAACAAATACTTTCTACTATTACAATAAGTTCAATTTTATGAAGAGGTATTTGTATAAGAAAGCGAATGAGCTCGCAGCAATTGAGATCCCCAACAATTTTTCAGAGAGAGTATGATAATAAATAGTAGTGATGACAAGAACTATGTCCCACATTACGCACAGGACACAAACTCCCACGTATGCTATAGAAACAATTGGCCAAAGCCTCATGTATGTAGCTTGGAACTTGATAACCTCACTGTCCGGTAACGCCTCAAGATTTTCCTGAACTGGCGAACTTGCTACCTTATTAATATCTTCAGATGACTTGGGTTGGTCGCTTGCAAGCAAGTTTTGTGCATTTTCTTTGGTCATGGTCGAGTTTCCTTGCACATTGGCGTTTCCAGCATCTGGGTTTTCATTTAGTTTGCCAATGCCTTGGCCTAGCGCCATATAACGCCTCATGGTCTGGGCCTCTTGCATGATCGTGAGGACGCAATACACCATCAGGAATGCGTGACCGGAGATGTCGAAGGAGTCAAATTTGTGGCCGCTCTTGAGGCATTTCTTCTTATCGTGTCGCGATACAACCACGTTATTCGAGAGACACATACCCGTGTAGTGCTCAATGCTGGGAAAAATCACCTGAAACAACGTTCAAATTAAAATATAACAAAAAAACATCAGCTGATTAATTATGGTTTGATTAACTAAAACTTATAGAAATTAAATAAAGTAAAATTGTGGGGAGATGTTTTACATGAGATTTTCCTTTCTCAGCAGTTCACAGTATTTTCAACCCAAATATTTCCTAATCTTGAAAGCAATTCAATGTGCTGAGAAACTCACAGCACACCAGGTATAGAAAATGATCGTTAGCAGTAGGGCTCGCAAAGCCATCTTGATGCTCGCATTCAGTGGCTGAGGAGAGAGCGGCAGCAGAGACAAAGTCAGCACCAAGAAAGCCAACAGAGTCCATGCCCAGCCCATCTTAACAAAAACCTGCAAAGCATAAATAAATACAACTCCCTGCAAATTGCTGCAAAACAGGCAAATCGATTTGCACAGGGAAATACAGATCAATTACAGGATACATTGGCACAGATGGAAGACTTCAAGAACATCTTAAAGATATTTATCAGGTATCACACAACATTAGGCTTATATAATCGACATAGGATGCACATGGAAAAGTCCAGATGACCAATATTTATAAATGAGTGGATAACTTGAGGCTTTAGTAGGCTACGTGTTTAGTAAGGCTATGATAAAGGTCAATCAATATTACTCAGCAGTTTTAATTAATCAAAACATCAATGACTCAAGTTGCAACTCGAAGATCAAACAAGGATTGAGTTTAAAATATAGTAATTGCACAATGAAAAAATTTGAAAAAATATAGACTAAGAATAATTTATTGAGCAACTGTGATATTGATTTGATAGGATCAGATCCAAGTCTAGCTAAGATGCATCTTCCTATATACTGTATGTGCAACATTCATATGTACCGTACCGGTAGTATAAATATATATTGGAGTATGATTGAGACTATTTCAAAACATGAAAATTAGTGAGCAGAATAAACTAAATTAGTCAGAAATCAATCTTAAAGTGTACACAATATTTTCACACAAGCAAACGTGGTACTTCTACATATAAAATCCCTTGATTGCTAAAATTGTGAGTTTATCAAGAATTTATAAGCAAAGAAAACAGCCAAAAAATTTCCCATTTCTTAAGAATGATGGAGCTGGACTCCAAAACATTTTCATTCTTAAGAAATGGTGAATTTTTTGGCTGTTTTCTTTGCTTTTAAATTCTTGGTACTTATACTATTTATACCTATAGGTACATAATACAATCTTTTGAAAAATAAATAGAGAATAGAATTTCAAAATAATAGTAATGATATAAGACATACCTGCCTTTAGGTAGAGAAATTTCTTTTAATATTTTTATTGTTGGAAAAAAGTCCCAAATCATAACATAATTGAATTTTTGACAAACAGTTTGGCAGAAACCAATTCTAATGATTTCAGAGACAAATTCTAATGATGAAGCAAATTGTTTTGCATTGTATGTTGATCAAAATAATTAAAATATGTATTTTCTAGTATTATTCAAAATAAATATATCTACTGCATGTGAAACCAGAAATCATATTACCTGATTAAGAATGCTGTCCTTAGAGGTGAGAGCATCAACATGTTTGATTTCATCAGCGCCTTGAAGGAAAGACAGAACAGCAACCACAAGAATTGTTGCACCAGCTCGAGCATACCATGGCACCAGCATGTAGTGTCGAAATATCTGAGTGAGTAAGAACTTGTTAACATCGGTTTTAAAATATAGTAGTAAATGTTATGAACATGATCAAATAATAACTTCTGTCATTACCAGAAAGAGGGTTTGAATTTGAGAGCAGATTTCCTGATAGCATTTGGATACTAAGTTTAGTGTAATTCAGTACACTTATTGGGATACACATCATTGATAATATAGCAATTAGCATATTAAAACGACCACAATTCAGGTATGAATATTTGGGCAGTGTTAACAGAAAGGTAATCAGAGCCTGGATTCTTGACTTTCTAGTACCTTTGTAGTTGATGTAGTGTTGAGCTCAACAAATTGTTGTTCTGACATGTATTCAATTGTTTTTAATGACAAGAAGCAAGTTAAGAGCAGTGAATGCTATGAGGTATTGCTACTGATGTGTGACAGAGGGTGAAAGTTATTAATTTAACAACTAGATTTTTTGCCACACTGATGTTCTCATGATTTATATTCTTACAATGGTTCAACACTAATATTCCTAGAATATGTTAATATTCTCATATAAACAAATTTAAGAAATATTTTCCTCTGTATATTCTAAATAGTTTTTGCAAAAAATTTCTTTGCTTGTCATCAGTACGGTACTTCTGTGTTTTATCTAATCACTTAAGCAAGTGTGGAAAATCAAATACCTAAAAGCTTAAAGGCCAGAAATATGAGCACTGCGGTGACTTATATGGCAGCTAAGTATCAGCAATGTTTGATTTTAAACAATATTGAATTAAATAAATGTTGGTTTATATAATACATTCAACATTTATCCACTTTATTTTCTTGATCAATTCTAAACAGTAAACACATTAATTGCGACAGGAGCCACCATTGAGTTGTACCACCAGTAAGAAATACGCATTGAATATTACATAGCCGCACTCAATGTGTTAAACCAAACTAGAAAATTGGGCAGAAGCCACCTCAATCTAGATTCTTGGGAGGTAGAATTTTACATAAATGATGGTAAAAAGTACTGCATGGGTAATTTTTCAAAAATCACACAGAGAATGAATGGTTTTCTTATTCATTAAGAAAAAAATCTGGCAAGAGCCATACAAATGGGTGAAGTTGACGAAATGACTATGCATTTTTGTCTTTTCAGGGCTGCATGACTCTGGCTAGATGAATTATCTTCTTACCTAATTATGAAGAAAAGTACACAATTAGCCTATAACATTACAGATATATACAAAAATTTGTCACTGGCAAGCCACAACATTTCATTAATAAGTAGGATCCTGAATGATTTTATTCTAATCCTATAACAGGTGACTTCAAGCCTTCAACTGGCTTGTAGTAGTTGTGGGCTCGTGGCTTCTGCCCGATTTTTCCAAAAAAAAAAAACACCTGAAACTCAGACAGAAAATGAGAAATGACCCTGCTTTCAGACAATAATATTGGTCTAATTCTACATCTACTCCCTTGGTCTAATTAATTTTATGGATATATATATACTGAAAATATTTTCAGGAGAAATTTTTAAAAATTTATTACTAAAAAGATAAATCTTCCTTACTATGTTCAGAAAAGTTTGCCTAATATTTTGTTATCATTTTTCATAAATTAATTTTCACAAATTTTGCTCTAATTTGAAATTTCTAAATTCTAGTCTGATATATTGGGGAGAATTTTCCAGGAATCACATTATCACAGGTAAGAGGAAACCTGTAAAAGAAAATCATTTTACATTAGTATTTAAGAAAATTTTATATGAAAAATATGTTTTTCTAATTTTTGCTGGAAAAATCATAGGAGTCACTAGTCCAGCCAGGGAGAGCCTTTATTATCCAGCCATGGCCCATAGCCTCATAGGAATTGCTGAAAATTTGAAATGGTCCAATAAACAATCATGGGCTAATTTGGGCTTATGCTGGGCTAGTATGGAATATATCTACTTGGCGAGCCGCGACTGAATTTTTTGAGCCGTGGTTTTATGGATTTGCCAGCCATTTTCTGCAAGATATTTTTGGCGGAAACGGTAAAGCAATGCGGATTGCGGAAGTTGAAAATTGTATGAAATGACATGTTTGCGAAGTGCAAACCGCGATTTTTTAATCAAACAAAAATTTATGACATTCGAGCCGCAAGATTTCATACCTAGTACCTACTGAAATTATATGATATTAGAGCCGCGATATTTCAGACAAAAATAGGACTTTTCCAGACTAGATGCTGGGCATGTTTGTCTCATTCATTGGTGGGCCAGGGCCCAGGTGGCTTTACTGGCTTCTGCCTTCTGATTAATTTTCCCAGTTGGTAGGGTAATCAAATTAGGGCCCAGGTAACAAAACTGAAGTGTCATGGTCATGGATTTGACTGCAGTATAATGTCAAAATTACACAGACCATTTTCATGAATAGGTACCTGGATTGAAACCTTAGAATTTATCATGCATCTGTATCACTGCATGCAACTTTGCAAGGTGATTGTCTGATTGACAATGAATTATAATAATACACTCACTAATAACCTAACTTCCTAAGAGTAAGAGCTATATTTATAATTCATATTATTGTCCAATATGTATTGTCATACATATTGAGGATAATAACTTCTCAAGTTATTACCCTAAGGCTCAAGTCGCTCAACGATTCAAATAAACTATTCTAGTAACCCTGTAAAAGGTAAAGCAACAAGATAAATGAATCCGGCATATTTACTCTCAGTTTCCGGTTGGTGCAGACCATCGTGGGGATACACTGGGTCCAATTGAGATCAAATATTCTGATCATGCTCATCTTACTCTCAGCTTGCCAGACTAGGTACTGTACGTGTTCGGTAGATATCAAGTATCAACCCGCAGCCGCACCCGGTGAGCCGGTGAGATGCTTGTCGCCGACTCTCAAGTATCAGAGAAACCAATTTCCAAAATCGAGGCTAGTCGCATAATCCGTCTCAGCAGAATTGTCGAAACAGTAGATTTGTTTAGGTCTCAACTAAAGGAAGGTCTATTATTTTTGCATTACAGGTACTTTTCGCTTCATATTTGGAAACAAGGTGAATATATTGTATCGTTACGAATTCTCATTTCTTAATTGTCGAAGAAAAATGGGTAAAATTATTAGGTAACGTTCAAGCCGTTCATGTACTGTACTAGTTGATATGTAACTGCTAACATTGACAGAACAATGTCGATTGTTAGTGGTCATTTGTGTTTTCTAATTAACAACTGTGCTAGTCGAAATTGCCTGCTTCAATGTCGGCTTACATGGTTGCATGTTACTGATGTTAGAGGTCAGCATTGTTGTTGTTTCCAGTTTGTAGGTGAGGAAGGAGGTCAGCATTGACCAATACCGTCATCACTTCATATTCTTCCCTTGCGCAAGCATGCTACTGAGCAGATTAGAGACTTAATTGCACTCGAATTGCTTAGAGCCATAGGCATCGCAAGCTAGCATACACTGCTCCATCCAGTATAGTCTTCACGGAGTCTGGGCAGGGTGGCCCAGTGGTTAAAGTTCAGAGTATGGTAACATGGGGCAACGGGACAATTGCGGGTCATGGGCCCATAGCGGGTTTCCCGCTAAGACTGTCAGCTATTGGTCCATGCGCTCTACCGCCGGTCGACAGTTTCACTGGGTTAGTGTACCTACAGTAACCTCTCTACTTTTTGCTAAGAGTTTGCGTTGATAAGTTACCCGCAAATAACTGCTTAAGCCCAGATGAAAGTTTTTTTTGCTGCTAAATAAAACTGTTTTCAATTACTGCATATGAAGCTTTTGGAATTACTGTGAATTATATTTTGAAAGTATTATTTATAGGGATAATTTTGAGTTCAAGTTTAGGCTATTAGCTTTTAAAATAAAATGTTGACACGATATAAATTGAAATGATACCTAGTGGGGCAACGGGTCCACGCGTGTCACGGGCCAAAGAGCCCATGGTGGGCTCAATACCCCTCTGTGGAGTCTTGTGTTATACATCATTAGACCGCCTCGTGGCAGCAGCAGGTTCTAGTTTCTAGTTATGCGTAGTTGTGACCCCTGATCGAATTAGCGACTCAGGCCTTGCCGAAAGTTGAGTTCAGCCAACACCAATGAGCCAAAAGTTGATGAGTTTTTTTTTTTGGTGTTGGCTGAAATCACGATTAAGTACGAATTCTCTCCACATTATTAAACAATTATATTATTATATTTATTTAAAATATCTGGATTATGGACGAAACTGGAACGGAGTTTTTTCTGATAAAGTATATTTATTTTTTCTAGTCAAGGATACATTTTTTCATGCCAAGGATGAATTTTTTATGGCAAGGATATATTTTTCAAGCCAATGATATATATTTTTATGTCAAGGAAATATTTTTTTCACGTCAGTTATATATTTTTTAACCAAGACTATATATTTTTCAAATTAAGGATATGATTTTTTAATAATAATAATAATAATAATAATAATAATAATAATAATAATAATAATAATAATAGCGGTTTCAGCGTTATTAGGCCGTAGGCCTGTCGCCGATTCTTAACATCGCAGAATGTTCACAGCTTGTTGCGGTCTCGAACGCGCAACTCACTGCTACAATTCTGCTGTGCTTAACCGCCCGGCCTCCTCGCCGATTCTGACCAGAAACTGGCGCACAGAGCTGGGATCGAACCCGCGCCTCTCTGCGCCAATCTTGGTACTCTGCACTTTAACCACTAGGCCACCCTGCCCCTTAAGTTGTTAATAAATGAATGAATGTAATAATTTTATTACATTTTCTTATTTTAACTGTAAAGTGTTGTTTTATCATTTTTAAACAATAAATATGCAATTGTGGTAATGTGACCAGGGGCGGACGCCTTGCCCCAAGCCCATGGGCCCATTGCCCCAGGGGTGAGGCAATGGGCCCATTTTGACACTTTTTACAAAATAGTGCTTCATTAAAAATTGAATAACTCTATAGGCGTCTAATTCACATCATACATTCCTCATTAGTTTTAACTTTAAACAAAACAAAGAACTATCTCGTATCACTTAAAACTTCACCAAAAATTTAGTTTAAAAAGGGAGGGGGCCCGCTGCCCCATGTTACCCTAGCAAGATTGGAGCTGAGAGGTGCGGGTTCGAGCCCAGCTCTGTGTGCCAGTTTCTGGTCAGAATCGGCGAGAAAGCCGGGTGGTTAGCAAAGCAAAATTGAAGCAGTGAGTTTCGCGTTCGAGAGCGCATCCAAGCTGTGAATATTCTGCAATGTTAAGAATCGGCGACAGGCCTACGGCCTAATAAACGCTGAAACCGCTATTATTATTATTATTACCGCTATTATACCCCAGTATGCTTCTTCCTTCGCACTTGCCCCGACTTTCCACCCAAACAAAGCTTTCCTAACCTAACCTAATTGGCTGCACTGCATGGTGGAGAAACGGGACAAGTGAGGGACTGGAGCAGGTCATTGGTTGCAGCAAGGGGGGAGGCGGGGCAGGTGTGGAGGAAGGCGCATGCTGGGGTGTGTAGATGTCGTGAAGACTACCGATATTGGCTGGAGCAGTGGCTGCTGGCACCCAGCACTTAAGGCTTCAAGCCGTCTTGGAACTGGTATG